AGTTTAAGAACCAAGCCCTACTTTGTAATGTCCGAGATGAGCTACACAATCTTGTTCAAGGTAAGGACAATGTGGGAGATTTCGGCCGTAAGGTTTTAGCCAAGACCAAAGTCAACAAAACTAGAACAAAACTATCCCCAATATTCGAGAAATATACCGTACCCAGCTCTTCCTCCACCTAGGTCTAGGAAACCGCAGGTATTTCCAGCCACTAATTTCTTTTGTCTTGCCTGTATCTTTGCTCTAGTTATTCCGTCCGCCGTTGCTCAGACTTTTCAGATCTGTGGTATCACCCAGTATGCTCATGTGCTGCCGTTCCCCGAGCCTGTTGCATGTCATGTCGCTCCATCCGAGGCAATGGTTCGTACCAAGGTCCAGCTCTACAATATCAAAAATGATCCGCTTCAGCTGGCCGCAGTTAAGTGTTATATGGATATCATTGAAGTTTCCGTCTATAATATTTTGTACATCCGAACAACGTATTCCATAATCGATCGCCTTCGCTTGCCCATCTCTGCGGAAGATTGCCGTACAGCCAAGACGATTTATATCATTCGGGGACACTATCTTCACCAAGTGACTATCTATATGACGTCGGAGATTGAAGACATGAACACTTCTTTGCCCTTGTGGGGTACTACCATTCAGATGAGAAGTCTCTATTCCATGGAGATAGGGGAAGTCGCAGTTTTGATGGTCGTTCTCTAGTAAGCCCGTTGGCTGATCTTCGTAATTGCTCAATGAAAACTGGTAGTTGCAGTGCACCAGATTCGGTAGTAATCTGGGAGCCCATTTGAACGTCATCGCATTGTAAGTTAGAACTAGTAGGTATTTATTATGGACTAGTGACTACTTCCTTCATAGTGATTCCCAAAAATGAATTGACTTTCCAATTTCAAGATCATTTCTATAAGCAAGCTAATTTAGTTAGGAATTGTCATATTCCTAACGCTTATTTCACTTCGTCGAATCATCTTCTTGCCTTCCCAGGGATTCCTCCCTACGTAGTCGTTCAAGATTTTGTCTCAGGTTTGCTAAGCAAGAGGCTTAA